TGAGAGGTGGACGCCGAGTTATCCGATGTCTCCCACACCTCGTAGACTGACTGTGCCTCGGAGGCACCTACTTGAGTTGGGGCACCCGCCTTGGGCTCATCTAAGAGACTGTCAAAGCTATGGTTTGACATAGCTACGAGCTGAAAATGAATAAAAAAAAGAGAAGCGAACTTTGAACTGAAAAGGAGAGACTAAGGGAACTCACCAAGGGAAAATGACCGAGCTAGGAAGACTGACGAACTGGGAAACCCAGACTGAGGAACTTAGTTGCGACCTCAAGATGAACGATTGTGAACTTATGGTGGAGAAAATGACTAGGGTCTCCCCTATTTATAGCCACTATGTCCGAGATTCAATGGTTGAGATCAAGATGATCTAACGGCTCTCAAGAAAACTGGTTGCGCGACCCCCGAGGTGAAATCAGTTTAGCACACTTTTTGACGTCCACGGAGTCTATAGATCGTGTGACATCTGCGTGTGAACTGCATGCGGCCCGGGTTATCCTTGATTGAGTCGAGCAGCGAACTAGTCCGACCAATAAACTATCTGATGGGGTGGCCTAGACTTCGGGCCAAATCCACCTGTCACGTCGTGAACTCCCCACACCAGGTCAGGACCCCTGGCTCGGGGAGTGGGGGGCAATTAATGGAGGGTGATTTGGCACGACCTCATCATAAGAGGACATGTGGACGTGACTCAGCATAAGTGGCAACTCAGCGCCACTAGTCCGCCAAGATCCAGCGTGGCAGCTTGCTACAAGATGACACTCCGATTACCCCGAGCTAAGATTCTTCCAAGTAGGAAGTACCCCGAGCTAAGATTCTCCCAAGACGGAAATCTCCCAAGCTCAAGGCACTTCGGGTTGAGCTCGGGAGCCTCCTAAGAATAAACTCGCCCGACCAAACTCAAGTAGGCCACCTCGGGTAGAAGCACCTCGGCACAAGGTAGCTCGGTATAAGGTAGCTCGGGGTAGAGCAGCTCGGCATATCACAGGAAGATCTCCTGCCTGACAACCGTACCTGCCAAATCTGGAGACTACGCCCACGTCTCTCGTCAGGCGGCGTCGTGCCTGCCAACCCTGAGAGTAGTTCCTTGCTTGGCAAGGTCGTACTCTGCAACGGTTACCTGCGCCCACCAGCTCAACCCTAGCAAGTAACGGATGCGGCAGAGAATCAGAGGTGGTTATACCTGATTTGACAGGACATCAGTATATAAGAGCTCCGACCCCCAAGAGCAAAGGTAACTTGAGTGATCTGCACTCTAGCCATTTCATTTTTGCTCTGCAACTCCCTCTTCCTGCCACTAACTTAAGCATCGGAGTATTCCAGCCAGGAGAGCTCCTCGGAGATCCTTCTTCTTCTTCACAGGTAGGAGTGACCAGATCACGCACCATCAGTTACCATGATTATGTAGCCTAAAGCACAACTCCAGATATGTGGATGGAGGCATTGGATCAAATTCCGCATTAATTGTATTATATATTAGATCAAATTTTGTATTGGTTGTATTGTTTATATGATAGGAATTTAGAAATTGTAATATAATTTTAACATAATAGCATATAAATTACAATTATTGGAATGTGACTTTTATCATTTATAATATCAATGGACCCACATATTGACATTTCATAGGTGTATTTTTATTTACATGCTTATCAATAATTATTATAATATTTGTAATAATTTATTAAATTAAATAGCAACAATTACAATGATAATTGGCAATAGTTAATGATTGTCACCAAATGTGATCAATTATTTTTTTTAATATGTGACAACAATTACTTGATTGTTGCTCATTCAACAATAGTTTGCAAGCCTTGTTGCTTAAAATATTTATCAGAAATAATTGTTCAATTGTGGCTATTGTACAATTAACAACGATTAATTTGATTGTTGTGTATGGAACTTTAAGGTAACAATTGCTTGATTGTTGAGACTAATGCCATAAATGAGTATAAGAAACAATTGTACAATTACCAACAATTTACATGATTGTTGTATAAAGAACTTTGGGGCAACAAGTGCTTCATTGTTGCTCATTAAACAATAGTCTAGAGGGGTTGTTGCATAAGATGATTATTAGATACAACTTTCCAACTATTGCAACTTTATAATTAACAACAATTAGTATGATTGTTGTTGAAGGTAATTTTAAGCGACATTTAATCAGTTGTTGCTAAAAATATATATGGGCAATGGTCTTTATTAATTGTTGTTGAAACAAAAATATTGGTAGTAATTGCAATTGGTTCTTGCAAAACACTATTGCTACTAATAGTTGGTCCAACTATTATGAAAATCATATTTCGCAACACCTGATTGTTGTTAAAAACTTTTAACAATGGCTACGCTAGGAATTGCTTGTTCAGTTGTAAGTAAAACATTTTGTAACAGTTTTCTTTATATTGGGAACAATTTTTGGCTATTTCTAAAGGCCAATTTTCTTGTAGTGGCTCTAATATATTATTTTTTGTTTGTAAAACTAAGAACCTATTATCCGATAAATACACAGTCACTAATTTTCGGTCGTAGTTCTCTTTTTGGGGTCAAGAAGACCAACTTTAGCTAGACACCCTCAAACCTCCAAATATTTCAAATTAGGTACATGTTCTTTCCATAATTCATAAGGCATTTTCTCTAATTTTTTTAGAGGGAATTTTGTTTAATATATGACAAGCAAGCAAAATAGCTTCCACCTACATGTTGGAAAGTAATCCTGAACTTATTAGCATTGCATTTAATATTTCCTTGAGTGTTCGATTTTTCCTTTTAGTTATTCAATTTTACTCAATTGTATACAGGGTTATTGTTTCATGTATTATTCTATTTTCTTCACAATATTTGAGAAATTGTGCATTTTCATATTTCTTTACCACTATCTGATCTTATTCTCTTTATTTTCCTATTTAATTGATTTTAAACTTCTAGTTTATATTTAATAAAAGTTTTATCACCTCATCTTTGGCTCTAAGTAAGTAAACTCTAGTGTACCTACAGTTGTCATCTACAAAGGTAATATAATAATTTTTCCTCCTTCACTCATTATGTTTCTAAAATCACCTAAATTGGTGTGGATTAATTCCAATAATTCAGATTCACTTTCAATTGAATTGAGAGGTTTTTTATGAAGTTTTGCTTCCACACAAGCTTCGCATTTTACAAAATCAGCATTTATCAAATTGAATATTATTCCAAGTTTCTCCATTCTTTTAATAGAAGCAACATTCATATGTCCTAATCTATCATACCATAAATCAATATACTCAACAATATAAGAAGAACTACTAGCTTTCATTGATTCATTAAAAACATTCAAAATAAATAACACATTGCAATTGTAGCCCTTCTCAACAAACTCTCCATTGCGAGACAGAATTAATTTATCTGACTCAAACACAAGTTTAACACCAACTTTATTAATCAAAGAACCAAAAATTAAACTCCTCCTAAAATTAGAGACATACAGGGCATCATTCAGCTGAAGCATCTTCCTGAACGTCAATCTCAACGTCACTTTTCCCTCCCAGCAACAGGAGAAGTATTGGAGTTGTCCATAAACATTGCTTCTCCCTCTTTCACACGTTCATAAGAGGAGAAAAGGCTTCCAAGGCGATGGTAATTTTTCAATCAACGCAGCAGCCTGGAATGACTCATCAATGTGCATCCCTTCTGCTAAAATTTCATGCACGATTATTTGATAATCATCACATATTTGTCATCAACCATTTTAAAGTCTAGAAAAATTGCAATACTTCTTTATGCCTACATCATCAATGGAGAATTGGACAATGAATTCAGTATCTGGTCGCTAACATAAATATCACCTTTCTTGACTATCTGATTAACGTCATTCCTAAAAGGACAAAACATAAGCTAGATTATTGTCAAGGAAAATCGTAATTTTCACGGACTACCTACGATGGTTCTTTCCATTAAATGGTTCCAACTATGACAGATCAAGATGGGGATTCGACACAACCATTAAATCAATTTTAAGATTGTTAGAAAATATGAAGTAATATGACTATAACAATAAAGAACCTAGATTCGAGATCCGGATTGCAAAAGATATATGTATCAAACTAATAATAAGTGATAAATTTATCGATAATAGTTGAGTCATGACAAGTGTCTACTATCCTTAAAACTGATTTTGTTGCCTCTCAAAGTATATCTGTACGAACCAGTGTGTTATGTACACCCAACATAATTTAACAAAGAGAAAAACTAGTATGGGAGAGAGAAAAAATACAAATTATACATGACCAATACAAATACTTCAAAGATGGTTTAATACAAAGTTACAAACACCTTCAAAACGCAGCTTCCAACTGTAAAACGTTAGGGTAGGACTCAGGAAGGAAAAACGGGAATATAGATGCTTGTCGATGATGACTTAGTTGGACTATCCGCAGAATACAAAGTTACAAACACCAACTATCAATGGCCAGAAGCCCAAAAGGCATAACTTAGTGTGTTTTATTCTGTGGACGTTTCAATCTGCATTTTTCTCATTATGCTCATTTGTACATATTATTTATATTTACAAAAGTGGGTTTTGATTTATGTATGCACCAACCATTAAAGAAAGCTTCATTTAAAGGCTTTTCCCAACAGTTGAGTGTTTATTCACTCAAATAACGCCTAATGATGCTTAATTGTCAATAAGCAGTTTATCAAATACTTTTCTCAGCTTTAAAGACAAATCAAATATAATTGTTTATTTAATAAACAGAAACTATACCAAACACATGCTTAATCTTAACCTGAAATGACTCGTTTCAGAAATTTAACTACTGAAGGAGTGACAATATTCACATGTATGATGCATCTAACCCCACATTTGTCCCCTTCAATTATTTTCATCTTGCACCCCACCAAGGTCCCATTCCATATATATACACGCGAGAATCATCACCCGTTTCAGTATGAACTGGATAGTTGCAAGATTTTTTTTTTTTTTTTAATTGTTGCAAAACCAGTGACATCAATCTCTGAATCAGTTAATAACGCCGTCTGGAACACAAAATGTTGGATAAATATGTGAGAGCTAATACAAATAGATGTATGACACTCCCATGAAAGATGGTCATTTCAAGTGCTTGATAAGCTTAACGTTATACAATAAGTCAACAGATGTCATATCCAAAAAGGGGGAAAAGGGAAGAAAGGAAAAGCAAAACATGTAAATGCCCTTGAAGCCCACAGGACAAGAAGTTCTACATGTAAAGTCCTTCAGGCACCCCTTCTTTCTTCTTAAACATAACCTTTTCCTTAGCCTTCTTAAAGTCCACATGTGTTACCTGAAATGCAGGAAGATAACATGTTAAATTTCGAATCAGCATTTTAGGCAACTGATTCCAGCAAGGATAGTAGTGATAATTGCAGAATCCAACAATTAAAATGTCCAAGGTTAAAATCAAGGACGACAGAAAGGCACATCTTTAAATAGTTTTCAGCAGTCATTTTGACCATCCAGAAAAGTTCTTGCAATTTTGTTGCTTAACATCGAGATATCTTCTTAAGCCCCCACCCTATGTCAAAATGTCAAACATTATGGATAATACGAACTTCAATCTATTCCCTATATATCAAAACTTCAGGAAAGAAAGAGTTTAAAAAATCGTAGACCTTTCCAAGGAAAAGGGAAGGTATGGGAACATCATAGTCATCCTTTCAGGTCCTAGGAGTAGGAGAATCAACAAGGGCTGAATCTCTCAATTAATCTAGTAGAGAGGGATTCCAGAGTAAGAGTGGGATGGCCAAGGAAATAACAACAAAGGCTCATGGTAGTACAGGCAAATTACGAGGGGAATGAGGGAATCAAATGGTTATTAAAAGAGCTTGAAGCAACTTTCTCATGGATCCAAAGATAAGCTAAATGTGGCTGATACCATGGCTAAGCAAGGGGTAAATAGGAGACATTTGTTTTGGGAGGTCACTTCTAGCCCAATAAATTGAGGATGTAATTCACTGCTGTACATATTATTCTTTTTAAATGAGCAATAAACATTAACAGCTACCAAGCATTTAGAGTAAGAAAAGCCGATATCAACAATGGCTGCCTTTCAGCACAGTAGATGAAGATGGATGGTGGTAATCACAATCTTCCCCCCTAGTTGCACTCCAGGGAGCATCAGATGACAGTTGAACGAATTCGGATTAGCTGAACGCAATGGCTGTTCAACAGGCTGTGGAACCAATGATAAGGTTCCATGCCAGTAATTTCCTTTGATGATCTTTGGAGGAGTTGAGCAGCAGTGGCAAGCTCCTCCTCCCTTAAGAATAGGTTGTGTTAGAGTTGTCCCCCCGCCCCACCCCACCCCATGAAGGCTTTATGAAACTAAATTTCGATGGTAGTAGCCAAGGCAATCCAGGTCCCTCTGGGATGGGAGGGGTTATAAGGAGTGAAAGAGGAAATGTGGTTATATTATACCCGGGCCCCTTAAGAGTGGGGAACTCCATTAGGGCAGAATTATTAGCAGCCCTTCAAGGGGTGCAGCTTGCAGTACAGCAGAAATGGAACATCTAATAATAGAAGGAGATTCCAAGGTAGTTGTGGGGTGGTTACAAAAACCAGAGTCGATGGTGTGGTGTTTTAGGAATGAAATTAAGAAATTCAAGTGGCTAACAAGAAGTCTGTGTATTAGAATATGTTGGGTGGGGAGATCAGCAAATGCTATGGCTGATAGCTTAGCCAAGCAAGGGGCAAACAGGGAACAATTGTATTGGGCATCTTGGTAGTAAGCTTTTGTTTTTTATTTCTTGGAGAGGTCGTAGCTCGTGCCTCTCCACGGGACACTTGTCCCTGTTCTATACACTTTCTAATAAAATTTTTCTTCATTTATCAAAAAAAAACACCAGATTTTTTCCATCAAATTGCTAATATTCAACGTAGACATAAGACCATATTATGGGGTAGGGAATGGAGACTTAATAGGAGGTTGCTGATGGTAATACTTCTTTCTACAACTGCTTGTTTGCTTCTTTCTACATGGATGATTGCTTTAGATTATACAACAATGAAGATAAGAATGGGCTGGAGAGGTAATTTAAGGAAGAAGAGGTACCGCTTGCATTGAAAGAACTCAAAGGGGACAAGGCTCTAGAAACTAATGGCTTCCCGTGGCTTTTTACAATAAATGTTGGGTTATTATCCAAGAAGATCTACTTGCAGCCTTGAGGGCAAACTATCTAATGCTACTAAATCTACATTTATTTCCCTTATTCCTAATCTTCAGGGTGCCTTGGATTTCAGAGATTTCTACAGTTCTACCCAATTACCCTAATTGAGAACTTATAATTGAGGGAGACTCAAAGTTGGTGATTAGATGGCGGCAAAAGGAAGGGGAAGAGGGTTGGTGGGAATATATTCACAAGAGGATAAGAATTAGAAGGCTGCTACAAGGAATGGAGATTACCCTACAATGGGTGAAATGAGATGTTAACTCCTTTGCTGATTCTTTGGCAAAACAAGGGGTGGGAAGAAATCAATTATTTTGGGCATGTTTGTAATCTTATTTTTTCTTTTGGGAGAAACAAGAGAGTTTATATCTCCTTTTTCTGCTGTGTACCATTCAATATTTTTAACGAATGAATTTAATTCTGTTATCAAGCAAAAAAAAAAACTTGTACAAGTTGCTATCTAAGGTCTTATCATAGAGTGATGGGTCATCTCGTTCTACCTTCTCAAGGAGATTTTGTGGATGGGCACCAAATTCTTGATGGCCATGTCATTGTCAAAGATAAAAAGCCGTTCCCAGTGTTATTTGTAAGCTTGACTAGAAAAATAATACAATCATATCCAGTGGGCCTCATGGACTACATTCTATGAAGGATGGCCTTTGCAACTTTGTGGAGGAAGTGGATCCGTTGTCGTGTCTCGTTAATGGCACTCTAAAGACTATTTCCCAAGGGAAAGGGGCTTAAGACAAGGATAATCCTTATCTCTATTCTTTTTTTTTTTTATTTTCAGTTATCCCTATTCTTGTTTTTGTTAGAGTTTGATCCATTGGAAAATTGATTAATATGGCAATAGAGTCTTCAGTTATCCCTATTCTTGGGGTTAGGGAATGTGCTCCAAAATAATGCAGCCTTGTTAGGGAATGGCTCCAAAAAATTAAAAAGTATCAAACACAATATTAATTAAAAATATAAACTAAAACTTTATAATAGATATTTTAAAAAAGCAATTATCTCGGAGTAAAATACATAAACATAACATGTAAAACAAATTTAAAATAAAAATTTAAATATAAAATCAATCATAACATATAAAACATATTCAAGCATGTAAAACTCTCAATATCTTCATTTTTTTCTCAATTGCATTTCCTCAAATAGCTAATGTGATGTTAAATATTATGCATTCTTGATTCTCTGACCACCTTTCTACCAAGACCCTCAAGGCAAGCCCAAACAAGTCATTATTAGAGTCTATATAATTCTTAATCCCTATAAAAAAGATTTTATAATTTAATTGTCTTTTAAAAATATCTTTTATTAGGATTAATGAATCAGCAACATTAGCAAAGAGAAAATGGGCTGCAGTGGCTGCTACAGTTTCCACCAAGATCAAATCACAAGCTGAATGGATTCCCCCACCATACAGTGGTGAAATTGAATTTTGATGGAAGCTGCCAATGTAACCCAGGGCCATCAAGAATTGGTGGGATTCTGAGAGACAAAGACAGCAATATGTTGTCTCTATTTTCAGGACCAGTGGGTGAAGGTGATTCAATAAGGGCAGAGATACTAGCAGCGGTACAAGGTATACAGATGGCTAGTCAAAGTGGAGTGACAAATCTGCTAGTAGAAGGGGATTCCAAGGTGGTAGCAGGCTGGCTAATTAGCCCAGAAACAGCTTGTTGGGGCTACAGGGATCTGTTAAAGAAAGTTAAATGGATGACAAGGAATATGACTGTCAGGTTTCAGTGGGTTAGAAGATCAGCAAATGCAATGGCTGATTCTCTGGCCAAGCAGGGGGTGTCAAGGGGAGATCTATTTTGGGCTACTTTGTAATTGTGTCTCAGGCTTGGGCAGTTTTGGTGTATATGGTTCAGTCCTAGGGGGGGTAACATCTCGTGCCTCCTCCTAGGCTGATTGTACTTTTTGTTATTTGATTTAATAAAATTACTCTCATTTATCAAAAAAAAAACAAAAAAAAAAACTGCAGAAACGTACACCTTTTGAAAGTGTTATGCCTGGGACCTAAGCAAGGCTCATACCCTAAAATGCACCCCAACTATGTGCCAAGTAGGGGTGATCATTTCAGGCCGGCCTGGCCCAGAAATTCCGGGCTTGGGCCTGGGTTTTGTGTTCAGGCCCAGGCCCACATCAGGCCCGCGAATTTTAGGGCCGGGCTTGGGCTTAATATTTCAAGCCCGACCCGTCCCGCATATTTTTAAACTTACACATTTTTTGTATAATATATACATATGTAAAAATGTTATTTTACATTATATTATATATAAATATTATAACATGAGATGTATAATTTATATTATATAATGTATAAAATAAGTTTATATGCATGTTATGTCATTTAATATAAAATATTATAGACATGTAATGTTTTATATACAAGTGACATTGGCCCGCCCGGGCCCATGTAGACCTGGGCTAGGGCTTATGTTTTAGGCCCAGAACCCTGGGCTGGGCCGGGCCGGGCCTGGGCCTAAGCTATAGCCCTTATCGTAAGTGCAAAGTCCGTCCCTGCCCATGATCACCCCTAGTGCCAAGGCGCCCCTTTTAAATTATTGTTCCCGCCTTGATCTTTTTATTTCTTCTACACATTCATTGGCAATCAAAATTTGATAAATAATTTCTTCTTCCTTGTAAAAAGGTCCCTTCAGATTAACTAATAATAGAAGGAAGTACAACTTTAATCCCCAAAGAAAGAACCTTTGCCACTATCTTGTAGATACTAGTCACCAAACTAATAGCCTAAAATCTTAGGGTGATTCACATCACTCTTCTTAGGGACTAACACTACAAAAGTAGCATTAACTCCTAGGCTAAATATTTTTCCAGCACTTCCAGACAATCTTGATAAAAATCCATAGTAAAACCATTTGTATCCATAGAGAAAACCGCTTGTTTAATCTCTTCTTCTTTAAAGTTTTTCTCCTGCCATCTAACTCTTTCCTCACTTAAATTTGACCAATTAACCCCTTCCACCCTTAATCGATCATTCATAGACCTTCTAGTCTTCTAGATTGGTTTGAACTTAGTGATCCACAAAGATTCTTGAAATCACATTGACTCTCAAACACCTCCCCATCCATTTTCAACTTAATCATGA